GGCTCCAGTGGCCGGGAGCGGCCACTGCACTCCAGTCTGGGTGACAGAGTGAGACTCCAACTCAAAAACAAAACAAAACAAAGTGGGCAAAAGATATGAATAGACAGTTCTCAAAAGAAGACATATGAGCAGACAACAGATACAGGAAAAAGTGTTCAGCCTCACTAGTCATCAAGGAGATGCAAATTAAAACTACACGGAGATACCACCTATTCTGAGGTCTTACGGGCAAGTAGAGACCTGTCCTTTCTGGCCTCTAGAGGGGAAACAGGCCTAAGTGGCAACTTTAGGAACTGGGTTTCAGTCAACCTGAGCACCCTTATCTGGGGATGGGGGGGAAGCTTGGGGAGGTGGGGACCTCGGGGTGATCACTCCCATACCTGGGGAGGGGACTTTCCTTCCAGGCAAAGAGCCTCCTCCTCAGCTTCCTCCCCAACCCTGCCTCATCACAGCTGCCTCATTCAAAACTGGCCAAGGATTGATTAAGTCGTGCAATTAAGGAGTAACTGTACCCCTCTCACCAGGAGCGGTTGCACCTCCAAATCCAGGAACGTGTTCATTTAAACAAACTCCCGTGGGTGGGATGTGCAGGGGGATATTCTCTGTGCTCCCGCGCCCCTCCCCACCCTCCCTTCAGGTATCCTCTATACCATAAACACAGGAATCGGCCCTGGGCTGCGAAGGAATGTGAAGGCTGCTGTCACCTGTCGCCTGCCAAGGGGAGCGTACTGGCCTCCCGCAAGGACGCCAGGACGCCGGGCAGTGAGCCAGGTGTCTTGCAGGATGGGATCCCTCTAGATGTCCACGTCACACCTGAGGAGACAGCATCATCGTTGAGCAGAGGCGCAGCTTGCCTCGGCCCCGGCCACCTCCAGACCCTAGCCAAGTACATTTGCTCCTCACCCCTCCGGTTACCCATTTTGCTCTCTCTGTATCCGCGAGTGTACCGAACTAGCTAACAGGAAGGTGCAGGTTCCAAGAGTCAAGGTGACCAGGCAGGGAAGCCACGAGGAGGTTTCGGGTACTCGGTTGGTCTTCCTCTCTAGCCCCCAACTCATCCCGGGCCCGTCAGGGTCGTGTGTAGCTGATGACGGCTTGTCCTGCGACTGAACTTGCTGGGGGGAGGCTTTTGCGCGGGCCTCCTCCCCACCGCAAGGATCAGGAGCGGGCGTGCAGGGAGCCTCTGAGACCCCAGTCTCTGCCTCGAACAGGAATGAGGCTGAGGCACCTCCAGTGGGAACACATTCCCCGAGGCTGGAATCGGGGCCGTGGAGGTCGGCGATGAGCCTCATCCCTGCGGGAGACCGTAGAGGGTGCCGGCGTGGGCGAGGCGGAGGTCCGCGGGAACTCCGGGCAGAGGGTCGCCTCGCGCGCACCTTCCA